ACATAATTTATATACAAAAGTTTATAAAAATCGGTCTATAATTGACTCTTATATAAGATTCTCTCCAGAAATTCACTTTAACGCTCATGTATTGCTTAAAAGTTTTTCCAAATTACGGTAGTTTTATAGGAACTGAATTTGATGAAGATCGGTCGATAACTATCAAACGCCCATTTTCGGTTTTCTTAGAAAATTACTTTAAACCTCATGACTGAATTAAAAATACGAGTACAGCGACATTAGATACAAACAATTATTGTATAAGGATAGGTCCATAATTGACTCTACCCTCCATATAACCACTCTTACAAAAAAAAACAGTTTATGGTTATAAATATTGGATCAAACAAAATTAATATTTTTAATTCGGAATAGCACGGTCCATGCTTAAGCCCTTGGCTTCTTCCAAATATTTCCCTGATGTTCATATTAATATCAACATATGATTCAACATAGATCGATAATATCAAAGTTTATTAATAAGGATGATTTGATGGTGGGTATATAAGATTCGGCATGGCCGAATATAACACTCTTACTTGTTTCTGTTTGTTTAATTTTTCATACGATTTTGTATAAAAACAAGTTAGAGTGCTATATTCGGCTGAGCCGAATCTTAAATACCCTCCACCAACAACTTTTGTATTAATACATTTCTAATTAATAAAATATTTGTAGAAATAAGTTTTCTCATGTCTTAAATAGAAAAATCCCAAGATTTAAACAGCCTAAATCTACTACAATTCCAAGATTTATTGAACATTAGAAACGCCACTTTCATTTAAATTTTAAATAGCGCCCTAAGATGTGCTTTAGCGATATCTCGTATTTGCATGTATGCATGTGTGTGAAAGATTTATGGATTTTAAAAATACATACATATATATAATTTTGTTCTACACAAATTGATAATGCAAATAGTTAAATACGGTTAAAGCGCTTTTAGGGGCAGGACCTAGTATTAGAGATATGACCAAACATAGACCGATCGTGAAAATTTTTTGAAATAGCATTAAGTGCTTTTTGCATTACAAAATAGTATTTATGAACAAAAATAGTATTTATTTATATCATTATTTGGTAATGAGTTATGTGCCTTTAAGTGTTTTTCTGAAAGGGACCTTGTATGGGAGCTATGATCAATTATGGATCGATAGGAAAACAATTTCACAGTAATATTTCTCTGTATATGAGCAATATTTTTGCCAAACTTTATATGGATATCTTAATTTAGTAATGAGTTATGTGCGTTTAAGTGATTTTCGGGAGGGGACCTTGTATGGGAGCTATGACGAGTTATGGACCGATCGGAAAAAAATTATCTGTAATATTTCTGTGCATATGAGTAATATTTGTACCATATGAGTATCTTAAATTCGTAATGAGTTATGCGCGTTTAAGTGATTTTCGGGAGGGGACCTTTTATGGGAGCTATGACCAATTATGGACCGATCGAAAAAAATTTTCACAGTAATATTTCTGTGCATATGAGTAATACTTGTGCCAAATTTTATATTAATATGGATATCTGAATTTAGTAATGAGTTATGCGCGTTTAAGTGATTTTCGGGAGGGGACCGATCGGAAAAAAATTTCACAACAAAATTTCTGTGCATATGAGTAATATTTGTACCAAATTTTATATGGATATCTTAATTTAGTTATGAGTTAAGCGCGTTTAAGTGATTTTCGGGAGGGGACATTGTATGGGAGCTATGACCAATTATGGACCGATCGGAAAAAAATTTCACAGTAATATTTCTATGTATATGGGCAATACTTACACCAAATTTTATTTAGATATCTTAATTTAGTAATGAGTTATGCGCGTTTAAGTGATTTTCGGGAGGGGACCTTGTATGGGAGCTTTGATCAATTATGGACCGATCGGAAAAAAATTTCACAACAATATTTCCGTGCATATGGGTAATATTTGTACCAAATTTTATATGGACATCTTAATTTAGTTATGAGTTAAGCGCGTTTAAGTGATTTTCGGGAGGGGACCTTGTATGGGAGCTATGACCAATTATGGACCGATCGGAAAAAAAAATTTCACAGTAATATTTCTATGCATATGGGCAATACTTGTACCAAATTTTATTTGGATATCTTAATTTAGTAATGAGTTATGCGCGTTTAAGTGATTTTCGGGAGGGGACCTTGTATGGGAGCTATGATCAATTATGGACCGATCGGAAAAAAATTTCACAACAATATTTCTGTGCATATGAGTAATATTTGTACCAAATTTTATATGGATATCTTAATTTAGTTATGAGTTAAGCGCGTTTAAGTGATTTTCGGGAGGGGACCTTGTATGGGAGCTATGACCAATTATGGACCGATCGGAAAAAAAATTCACAGTAATATTTCTATGCATATGGGCAATATCTATACCAAATTTTATTTGGATATCTTAATTTAGTAATGAGTTATGCGCGTTTAAGTGATTTTCGGGAGGGGACCTTGTATGGGAGCTATGTCCAATTATGGACCGATCCAAAAAATTTTTCCTCTGAAAGAATTCTATTGACATAAGATTTTAATTTGTAAAATTTTGTGAAGATATCGACATTGTGGCGGAAGTTATTAACAAAAAACCCATTTTCCGGGAATATGTACTTTTGTATGGGAGGTATATGAAATTGTGGACCGATTCTGGCAGTTTTCAGCAGGGATCAAGATCTTGTGCAGAAACGAATGTGTGGTGATTTTCATGGAATTATCTTGCATAGTTTTCGAGAAAACTACATCAGAATGTGTAAAAAATGCTTATTTTTTTCCGAGGTTGTTTTAAATTTTGATTCATAACTTTTCCCGGTGTGAACCGATTTTGCCCATTTGCAATACCAAACAACTTAGGAAAATGAAGAACATTTTGGGTGAATTTGGTTAAGCTCTATTGCTTCGTTTTATCGTGAGCGTGTTTTACACAGACAGACGGACAGACGGACAGACGGACAGACGGACAGACGGACATAGCTAAATCGACTCAGAATTTGATAAGGACCCAGAATATATATACTTTGTTGGGTCTCAGATGAATATTTCTTGGTGTTACACACGGAATGACAAAGTTATATATACCCTCTATCACCACTGATGGTGGTGGAGGGTATAAAAACTTGCTTTAAATGACGTTTTGGTTAATAACTCCTGAACTACACGAGTCTCCATCGAAAAAATTTCACTAAAATATAAAAGAGAGTATAGGTATCCTCATACCATGTCCTTTTATAATATTTAATACGGGGCTGTCTGATATATTTGGAATTGAAAAATACACTATAAAAATTGATCCTTAACCTTTTGGAAGTAAAATATTTTATTTACACGATTTTAAAGACAATATCTTTGGCTTTATAACGAAATCAAAAATTATCCTGTACTTAAAGGAATTTCAAAGTTATGGGCAATTATATGTATATACTTTTAGACAATTTTAACATATTTTTAAATTTTCAAAGCGCGATATTTTTGGTCTGGAACGGGATTCCTATCAAAAAGTCATTGATTTAGGGAACACTTTCAAACCATAATATATGTGGGAAATTTCATTGAAATCGGAGATGGTAAATCCGAAAATTGCTGTTTTCTGTCCGTTTTGATATGGATTCACCCCGTTGCTCTTATTTTCGAGCATTCATCACATCACGATTCGAGAGGTTTGCTATTTAGAATTAGCAAAATAGGTTATAAGCAAATTTACGAAAAAACCGATTATAATTTTGTTAAAAATTTATAATATTTGTCATGGCATGTATACACTACGAAAACAATAACTAACTTGCATCTTCATAAGTTATATGTTGTTGTTGTATTATGTTTTTGTATTGTGTATCAAAACTCTACACAAAAAGAACAACCGTAATGTATGAAGCTGTATTTGCCTAGTAAACAATTTTTTCATACATGTCTGATGCCAGAAATTTTCTGAAATAATTCTTATACTTTATCAGAATTTTTAACGAATTTCTAAATTTCCTTAAGACATTTTACAGAATAATCGGCAAACTGTTTTTTAACACTTTTTGCATATTTTCTGAAGTATTAAACGATTAAAATCAGACTTGTCTGCATACTGTCGAAAGGGAATTTCAGTGTTACGACAATTATGAGACTAATCAGACATTTATTCGACATCTATCAGACTTTCTTATACTTGATCAGACTTTTGAACGAACTGTCGGACATTTTATCAGACATTTATCCGACATCTAACAGACTTACTTATATTTGGTCAGACTTTCGTACGAAATGTCGAAAGAATGTCAGACATGGTATCAGACATTGGTCCGACTTCAATCAGATTTGTCGAAAATTCCTTCAGAATTTCCTCAGGAATTTACATCAGACTTCGTACCGAATTCTGGCCGACTACTCTGCACATTTTTCCGAATTTCCTTAGACAAAGAGTTCAAAATTCCGAGCGATTTACGATTTTCGTAACGAATTCTGATGGAATTCGGATACTAAATCGGCAACTTGAGCAGACTATCGGTACGAATTCGTTACGAATTTGGCAAAAAAATTTTAGTGGGTGGTTATTGTGGTTACAATATTATTTCTATATACAAAAGCAATATTTGTGCCAAATCTTGTATCTATATAAGTATGAGTATAAGTGATTTTCGGGAGGGGACCTTATATGGGAGCTATGACCAATTGTGAACCAATCCGAAAATAAAATTTAAGTAATAAGGGACATATCTTAATCTACTCAGAAAATTATTCTGAGTCGATCGGTATACTTTAGGTTGGGTGTAGTACCAATATTTTTGTACGTTACAAACATCAGCACAAACGCATAGTGGGGTAAGGTATACAAATTTTAGAAACTTAAAATTCCAAAATAAGAAAATTCCATTGAAACTGTTGAAGTAAGAGTTCACTTCTACAATTGGTTAATAATTGGTATAAATATGTGAATCTCATATAAAGATTGAAAATATTGTCCAAGTTCTTAATATATAAAATCTAGTACCAAAAAGTAACTTTATTTCAACAGCAATATACACACATAGTACATATATTTCATATCTCCATTTAAATCAATTTATTGTATTATCACCCAGTAATAATTTGAGCCCACGAACAAACAGAAGCCACCTGATATATTGTAGATATTTTAAAATAAATGTTAGTTTTTTATATGTATGAATGAATGTATATGACTGTGTGTGTTTTTGTGTTTATTTCATATAATTTTGGTGCTCATAATCCAATTTAAACGTTGACGTTCTTTACGCGTTAAACTGAAAAAATAACGTTGTGTATGGGCAATTTCACTGCGACTATGTAGAGGCGGCCAAATAGTGGTGATGCATAAATGTCTGTCGTAGTCGTCGTCGTCATCAAAATTATTGTCGAATGTATGAAAAATAAAAAATAAATATTATATTGTAATACAATTTTTGGTTGAATTAAATACAAACCTATTTAAACGTGCTGCTTCATAGCCGGTAGCCTGTTGGACAATTAATTGTTCAATTTCATATTGGAAACGTTGTTCGTATAGTTTTTTGCTGGCATTATAACGATTGCGGCATTTAATAATACTGATGATGATGACGATGATAATGGCAATCATGCATGGTTCAATGGGTAGATGAATGAATGAATGTGTGAATTGATGTATAGATGATGTTGTCATAAAATATTGTTTTAAGAACTTTCATAAAAATTTAAATACTCACTAGGGTAACTGAAATTTACTAAAGCTTGGCTGTAGACTAACATCTTTTTCGTCTGCATGTTGTAATTCTTTTTTACAAATCATGTTTAAAATTTGTTTAAGATTTTCTTGCTTTTCTTCTTTATCTCTGAGTTTTCGTTCAGCAGCTAATTCCTCTAGTGATTTTTGACTTTTTCGTGCGTAAGAGGAACGCCTACTACGCCGCTGGTCATTTACTGCAGATGTTCGAGTTTCTTCAAGCGTAGTCATAATTTAAATACATATATTCGTATTATAAAAATAATTACAGGAGAAAATATGAAAACAAGTCAGTCACAAAATTAATTTTCGTAAAAAAAAATTCTCACAATATTGGGTAAAATTATGAAGTTCTTTTGTTGTTTTATTTGTGTACTCTACATGTACAATGTACATATATTGTGTAGGTATGTATATTTTATATATTCTGATTGATATTGATAGACTTTTGAAGTGATCGAACATTATTCCATATTATTAATGATTCTATGATTTTAGGTTTTCTATTTAAAAATCTATTTTGGATTGATAATTGAAGCGATCTCAGATTTCCGAAATTTTTACACCCTACACCACAATGGAGGGGGGGGGGGGGGGAGGGGGTATTTATTATGCGTTTGTGCTGATGTTTATAACACCCACAAATATTGGTACTTAGAATCACTTTCTGAGTCGATTAAGCCATGTCCGTCTGTCTGTATGTCTGTTTGTCTGTCTGTCTGTATGTTTGTTTGTCTGTCTGTCTGTCTGTCTGTCTGTCTGTCTGTCTGTCTGTCTGTCTGTCTGTCTGTCTGTCTGTCTGTCTGTCTGTCTGTCCGTCTGTCTGTCTGTCTGTCTGTTTGTATGTTTGTCTGTCTGTCTGTATGTTTGTCTGTCTGTCTGTCTGTCAGTCCTTCTGTCCTTTTGTGTGTCCATGTAAACCTTATGCTCTTTATTATTAGAAACATAATCCACATTTTTAACGTGCTCACTGATGTAGGGTATCATATGGTCGGTCATGCCTGTATGTCTGTCTGTTTGTCTGTCTGTCTGTCTGTCTGTCTATCCATCTGCCTGTATATCTGTCTATCCGTCTGTCTGTTTGTCTGTATATCCGTCTGTCTGTTTTAATTTTGGTTGAAAATAAAGCATGATCATTTAGATCTTTATTACTTTTAAAGAAAACATTTATAACATCGTTGTTAACACAACGTTTATCTTCATACTTATTATAGAAGTCAACCTTTACTCATTCACTTTTGCATTTCTCTCAATACCCTAAAGTCATATGTAGCATCTTATCCAGCCTTTAGATTATTCCCATGTGTGCTTTAAGTGGTTTTCATACCATCAACTTTTTCCTCCTCGGATTTTAATTCATAAAATTAATTTGGCTATTGTGGACTGCAATAAACAAATTTAAAATCTCATTAACATTAACACATCACACCAAGTTTTTTTACACTTCACCTACTGTTTGTGTAAATACAAACAACCTTATCATACATACATACATATTTTAATTTTACCATACACAAAGTAAATTTCCTTTTTTTTGGGGGGGAAACAATTGTGTAAAGTCCTGAATACATTTGACATGTTAAAGTGTTAATAAATATTCTCAATTACCCTTGAGTAGCAGAAATGGAAATAAAAAAATATATTTTTTTTTTTTATAATTTCTGCCTTAAATTTAAAATAATAATAATGATGATAATTTTCTTACGATTTAAAATTCATTAATTATACTCAACTTTTATGTGTGAAAATAAATATTAATAGGAAAAATCTGCAAGGGAAATAGA